CTGTCTTTCTTCATTCTTTCATGAATTTTTTCCTTCCTGCTAGCACCCTCATAAGCTGCCACAGGTTTAAACTCCTTTGAAGAAAGAATCAGCTACCAGATAACTCCTTTTTCTTCACCTTTCCCTGTTCTTTCTTGGCTACGTCCTCCTCGTAGTCACCTCTCTTTTCTTGTGCTTCAGGCTTACTACCTCAGCAATCTCCGAAAAGATTTCTTCAATAACCTGGTCTCTCCTCCCTCATCATGCCATACTCTTGTGTCTCACTTCCAAGGACTTTCATAGGCTGGCTCCATCCTCCCTTTCCCACAGTTCTTCAAACCCAACTGTCTTCCTGACCACAGTAACAACAGAAAATATCCACTTAGCATGAAAGCATCAGAGACAGAGAATATGTTAAAATACATCATTATATATTTGCTGTGTAGGCTAGAATACAAATAATGCTCACTTCTGGCAATTTTGTTGGTTCCCACATTTAGTACTCACAGTAGAGAAAAAATACTGATATTATTCACTTTATGAGGAAACTCAGGCACAGAAAGCTGCAACACATTGACAGAGATTATAGCCTAGGAAATGATGAAGACAGGACTTGAATTTAGGATCTCATCCTCTTCATTTTGTACTTTCCCATGATCCAGTAAACATAGCTTACATAAGGCCCTGTTACGTGACGTGCTGATGTGTAGCACTGATGATGTAATTTTGCTTTCCTTGAAATGCTTGGCCTCTGTAGAGCAAACATTTTTTATCCATTTTTCAAGGAGTAGTTCAACTAATATGCACACAAACTACACTTGTTCTTTTCCATGATGAGTTGACATTTTGCCAAACCAAATTGATTTCTCCCTTTGGATAGACCTACAAAGCAAATAATCTCTATCATGTATCAGCACACAATTTCCTAGCTGCTGGTTCAGCTTTATTAAATCTCTTTGGCAAAACTGAAAACTTCTTAAAGGTGGGAACTATTCCTTGATCATTTTCCAGATTCTTCAATGAACATTAAAAGACACATCAGCATTAACAGTGAGTGTATTCTAGGCCATGTGTTATTATACTTATTATCTCACTTAATCCTGACTAAACCTACAGAAGATGAATGCCATTTCCCCATATTATAGCTGAGGGACCTGAAGCATGAACGGATACAGGAAAAGAACATGAACATAAAGCTAGTTGGTGGAGCTGAAATGGACGCCTTAACACAGAAGTTACATTTAATCAGGCTCACAAATTACAGGCCTTCTTAGCATATAATACATATATTCTCATTTACAATAAGAAATATGATTTCCTGTCCTGACTTTTGCATTCTGATCTCCAGGTCTCTAAAAATGGAGATTTGATACATGATATTTTTATGTTTCTATCTTGAACATTAATATTTTCTTCTTGGCTTTTGTGATGTCTGTACTTATTTCTGAACTCAGTTGATGATATTTAGATTTCAGATATAATCTTTTATGTTATAGTTATTCTATTCCTTTTGAATAATTAAATCTTAGTACATTTCTCCATGATAAATGTACATAATTTTGCATGCCAGATTACTATATTTCATTGTTTCTACACAGTAGTTTTGTGAGCTCATGAACCATTGCTCTACAATAATTTGTCCTTTTCTTAAGTTGATATAAAATAGAAATTGTTAAGTAACATGTGTAATTAGAAATGGTTTAAAATGCATGTATTTTTACTTAAATGAGAAAAGATTTTTAGTTATTATTAATTTTGTGTTACTCGAAATGGAACCCAGGTCCTATCAAGTGGGAGAAAAGGATATGACTACTGCATTATATCCCCTATTCTTCAGTTACTGTTTTGAGTGTATACATTTACAGGGTACAGTGTGATGAATGTATATGCAATATCCAATGATCACATCAGAGTAATTGACATTTTTACCATTTTTGATTAATGCATAAAATTATACATATCTATGTGATACATGGAACTCCATCTTTACATATAAGTATATTCTTCTTCTTCTTCTGCATGTTTTCATTCTTAAAACTTAGACTGCACCCACATAATCCTAGAGGATATCTTTCAAAATTTACTCTGAAGTATGAACCTAGTCAACATGTAAAATACTATTGAAATGTATAATAATTTATATTTGTAACACATAGGCCACAAGTTAAGCAGCTAATATTGAAGCTTGCTATTTGATTGACCTACATAAGGTAACAGTTCTTAAAAGATAAATATGATTTGTTTTAATTTTAAAATTAAATGTATGTCTGAGAGTGGGTTGTTGCATGTGTGAGTACAGAGCCCATGGAGGTCAGAAGAGGGCATAATATCACTTGGAACTGGAATTCTAGATGGTGGTGAGTTGCTACAAACTAAACTTGGATCTTCTAAGAGACCAGTATGCATTTTTAACCACTGAGCCATCCATCTAGCACAGATGAATCTTATTTTAAAATGCATCTTTTATGCTCACTTCCCTCAAGTTCAGCATAAGCAGAAAAAACTTATTTGAATTTTTACCGTGCTTCCAATGATACTAGAAGATATAAGTGTCCATATCTTGATCAAATGTAGGCATATTTTCAGGAAAATAGTAAAAGACTGGTAAATACTGAAGGTGATGAGAGGATTTAATGTCTTCCAAAGGAATGTAGCCTGGTTGGCATTTTGATCTTCAAGACTCCAGAAATGGAAGATAATAGATCTGTTATTTTAAGCTACCAGTTTTTAGCATTTTCTTACAGCATTTCTACTTCACAAATCTAATTCTTCACAACTTTAATATTCAAACAAAACCCTGTACATGTAGTTTAGACTGAATTCCTGAGTTTCATCCTCATGTACAGAGTTGCTTCTTTTAAAAAAGATTTTTTGAAGATCTCCTTCTTAAAGGTTTCTTTACAAGACATTAGAAAACTAAATATGATCAAATGATACTGCTCATTTTAACCCTCACAACCAAATCTGTTTTAATACTGATTTTTCTTTCTCTGTGAATATGTTACCTTCTTCAGTGCCTTCACCTCTCAACTCCTACATGTAAGCAATCACCAGAGACTGTCAGCTCTACTTTTCTATGTGTCAACTTGACTGAGCAACATGATCCAGAAATTTAGTCAAACATTAACCTGGATGTTTCTGTGAGGGTATTTTTGGAAGATTCTAACTTTCAAATTGATGGGCTTGAATAAAGGAAATTGCATTCTCTTATAAGAATGAATCTCACGGATCAACTGAAGATTTTAGTAATATGAAAGGACAAATTTTACTCAGGCAGGAGGAAAAAACAGACGTAGACTTTGCTGTCCCCAGATTTCTAGCCTGTGGATCTTCCTTGTTGACTTTGGACTTGTCAGTTTCCATAAGCACATGGGCCAATAACAAAAATGTCTGTCCTGGACCATAGTAACAGTTGCTATTAATGGTGATTGATAGAGGCAAGGATAAGTGTAAAGATTGTGTAGTCAGACAACTTCCATTCTATTTCAGTGCTAATACTTGCTGTTTGTGTACCCTAATGGGGCAAATTACTTAATTTTTATGACCCTCAGTTTCTTATCCAACCACGGTGGCAATTATAGAGCCTTGATTTGAAATTTGAAACTTGTCTTAGGATGTAGTAAATCTTAGAATAGTGCTTGATATATGGTCACTATTATAAAACTGCTTGCAATTTTTATTATTGCTAAATACAGTAGGGAGTGCTCCAATATCAAGCATACTGCTTTGTATCTCGATCAGATTTGGTTTTGCTTTTGCTCTAATTTTACATTTTGGTCCTCTTCATCCTGAAAAAAAGAGGGGCGGCTCCTTTCTCCCTACAGTGAAAGTTACTTTCTCAAGGAAAACAGCCATGTCTTCTATTCTTAATATTTCATAGAAGTCACCTGAGTCCTAATGACCTTTCTTTGTCCATCTGTCCCCTCATTGCCCCATCTGATTTTAGATAAAGTATAATTTATTCTGTAGCTCAGTCTGGCCTTACAGTTGTAATCTTCCTGTTTCTACTTCCTTAGTGCTGTGACTACATATCTATGCCACCATTCTGAGCATTTTGCCCTCTCTTCCACAGAATCTAAGAAAAATAACCCCCCCTCTTCTTCTTTTTTTTTTTTTGTTTTTATGAGACAGGGTTTCTCTGTATTGTTCTGGAGGCTGTCGGTCCAGCCTGGCCTCGAACTCACAGAGATCTGCCTGCCTCTGCCTCCCGAGTGCTGGGATTAAAGGCGTGCGCCACCCCTGCTCGGCTAGAACCCCCCCCTTCTAACATATGGTCATGTTTGCTAGTTGGGAGAACATATAGTGGATATTACTGTGGAGGCACTGGGACTACATACAAGCTTAACAGCTGAGCAAGATGCTCTGCAGTATTCTTTTTTCCACCTGGTAATAGTGCTGTCAATACTTATTATGACTTGAAGTGTACAAGCCCCCAAGGAGAACTGTTGTTACAGTACTGTCAACAGATACATGCCTACAAAGTAAAATGAAGGTCTGAACCTCATCTTCCCAGCCCAGCCTTTTACTTCTCATCTCACTCTTTTCTTCCTCCATAATGGCCTTCTCTAGATCATATGATCATAGCAAATGCACAAAAAGCAAGACGTCAGCAACACAACATCTCATATTGATTACCTGTAATTTGCAGTGTTTAGTGTAGAAGGAGACGAAATAAAAAAAAAGCAATATGAGATAAATGTAACAGAAAAAGTAGTAACAGCCTGAGTTTTCTACCAAGAATAAAATCACTTTATAATTAAAAGTTTGCAAAAAAAATCAAATCAATTTGTATTTCATGCATCTTCATAAAATTTAATTGCTTTTATGGGAAGAACCTGAAGATAGAACCTAGGGTAAAGTTCATGCTAAGTAAATGCGCCACCACTCAGCAGTATTCCCAGGTATTAGTTTTTAAATAGAGGCACAGTAAGATGTAACAAGTTGTCTGGAGACTGTAACCTTCATGCCTCCCAGGCCTGTGATGTCACAGCATACTCAAAGCATTGGAAATGTTTTCATACCTTTGTTTATATCAATGAGCTGCTTCTTCTTCTTCTGGCGTTCCTGCTTCTCTTGTTCAGCTTTCTCTTTTGCAAGTTTTGCCCTCCTGCTCTTCTCTTCGAATTCTTTTCTCTTATGGTTTTCTTTCAGTGCTTCCTAAACACAAAATAAAATAAAACAAATCTCCTATACACTGTATGATGGAGAAGGGGCACAGTTTAAAACTTCTACAAGTTTGAAGAGATGGAAAATTTTCATAGCAGCCTCAAAGTGTGGGCATATATTCTTTGTTGACAGAGAGACAAATAATTAGCCTTAAGACATCACTTCTGGAAAAAAATATTGAAAATAATCTTTTCAATTCTCATTATGTGTTGTGGGTGCATTATCTATGTTGTAGGTTTAACAATGAGAATACTTTCCTCATTGTTAAAATGTGACTACTTTTGATACACAAGCAAAGTGAGTATTTCACCTTGTATTGAAAATTTTCCTGTTATCTGCAAAATGGGTTAAAAAAATCTACCTCACAGGATATCTGTGATGAGAAATGAGATGTGCACTTGAAGTGCTTTCAGCAGAGCCTAATACATCATAATCAAGGTATTTTAGTCTATGCTGTGGAGGTGGTTGTGTTGCTAGTGGAATGATTACACCTAATGATGCAGGACGAGAAACAATCACCTGGAAGTTTTAGAGCTTTTTATATGGTAAGACTATTGGAAATGATGAAACAGATTTCAAGCTCTTCGATATTTATGAAATTCCAGTGAATGAGTACATTCCAGTACGTAATATTTGAGAAAGTTGAAGCAATGTGACCAGATGAAATAATGTCAGCTTCGTGGGAGCTCAAATAAGTCACTACATTTTAAAGACACATCAACTACATGTTCATTACTTCACGTTCTGTTTTTCCCCCATGATTATGATTGATTGGATATATTTCATAGTATGTGCTTATGTTTATACTTTACAAAAGTTACACTTTCCCTAAAACTATATTGTTCCAGCAAATATAAAAAAGAAGACAAAACCCCAAGAATACCCCGAGGTTTTTGTGTTAAGGAGTCTGAGTCTATACTGAATGTTAAAAGTGCATAATAGTTTAAAATACACCCGAAAACCCCTCTAAACAATTTTCCTGGCCTGAAAGAACTTATTTATTCCTATAAAATCTAACTGATTTTTACCTCTGTGGCATCTATTACACTAGTTAGGCAAATACTCCCCACATTAGGCTAAGAGCACACAACTATCTGGCTACTGTAGATAGAATCAAACATTTCCACTTAAAGTTATAAACTAGATTTTACATTTCGGTGCAGCCTCTCAAAATTAGCACTGCTGTCATTTTGGGCCAGATGACTTTTGTTGTTGTTGTTGTAGAGGTTGGCTTATGCACTGGAAGATGTTTGATGGCATCTTTGGTCTCCACCCACTAGATGCAAATTGCATCTCTTACAACGTGGCAACCAAATATGTCTCTTGAGACTGCCAAATGCCATCGGCAGGGCAAACATACCCAGATTGAGAACAAGGGGTTTCAGAAAGAAACTTCAGAGAGCAAGTGAGCAGGGACTAATAAGCCTTAAATGGCACACATATTTACTCTTCCAAGACTAAGGGAACACCTCAAAATGGAAGGAAGGAAGAACATAAGTGATGGAAGATATGAAGAAGGACTGTGAAACCCTGTCTAATGGTCATGACATGGCCATGGTACTCCTGAACTCATAAGAACTATTGTTGCTTACACAGAGACTGCATAAGACCAAGTCCTTCAACCTTGATCCACAGATGGGACACACCCAGGGGATCCAATGGTAGTCTATGGCTGCTGAGGGAGAGGGACGTCATGGTTTTCAGTGATGTGGCCACTAGTGGGTTGCTCAGGAGCCAGTGAAAAGTTTTATGTCCATTCCCTGATGAGCAGCTCTGCTTAGTCCCAATATATTTTGAAGCAAAAGCAAAATAAAGCCTAAGACAGGAAAATAGAATTGGACCTGGTGAGAGGTGGGTGGGAGCTGGTAGGGATAGAGGAGGCTCAGAGAAGGTAGAGGGATTAGTACGACCAGAATGTACTGCATACATGCAGACTCACAATCAGTTTACCTTTTCTAAATGTGGAAACATCTAAATGATTTTAAAGTATTTTGTCAGGGTCAGTCATTTCTATGAACTAAAAAAGGCATATGCAAATACATAATTCATGTAAATGTTCTTTTTAGTACAATTAAAGTTTTAGGAGAGAATAAAACAAAGATGGAAATTTTATAATATATATTCAAATACATGAGTGTGAATGGGGTGACTCTATGCAGGAGATGATAATTCTCTCACTTCAGGTGTGGGATCCCTCCCCTTGAGTTGTTGGGAGTCTTAGAGACCACTCAAATGGTACAAGCTATTGCCATTGCTCTTTATTGTCCACCATAATATGAGTGTAATGCCCTACTGTTGAAGATAGCATTTATATTGGCCACGGGACATGAAGAAATCCAGTTGGTACTTCCCTGCTGGCTAGCCTTCATAGTACTGAAAGGTATTCTGTAGGCATGTGGGGAACGAATAATTAACAGTCTTACTCAGTTGTGAATTCTGTGAAGTACAATAACAATCAGAATGGCAAGATATACCCATGGGTGCAACAGTGGAATATGCTATGGGGGTAACCGACTGCCTTATGGCCTCCTGTATGGCCTATTCCACAGGAGGAAATTCATGTATGGCACCGTAAATCTATTCAAGAATCCACGGTTTGGGAGTTCACAGGCCCCATAATATCAGACTATCATTAGATTTGTACCTTTCTAACCATAGATTAGTATACCTCTCAGCCGGGCATTGGTGGCGCACGCCTTTAATCCCAGCACTCGGGAGGCAGAGGCAGGCGGATCTCTGTGAGTTCGAGACCAGCCTGGACTACCAAGCGAGTTCCAGGACAGCCTCCAAAGCCACAGAGAAACCCTGTCTCGAAAAACCAAAAAAAAAAAAAAAATATACCTCTCAGAACCCATCAGAGGAGTTTATTTGTGTAGTGGATAGGGGCTAATGCAGAAACTTTCTAAACAAGGAGTTTGCATAATTTCTTTATGATTTGTCTCAGAACAGGGGAGTCACTTGTTCTGCTGAAAGATTTACAGAAGAACCCAGGGAATCAGACTACATTGCCTACCCACGGGATGGTGTCAACCATGTACACAGCTGCCCTTACCCATTTTATTAATCCTTTTTCTCAAAATGTCCTCTCTTTTCTTTTTCAAATTTCCTCCACCTAACATTTTACTCTGCTTTGTGGATTGCCATTAACTGTCCTGGCTGTTAGTGAGTCTTCTAAAATTCTGGACATTTTCCTCGAAGCCAGATCAAAGGGCTGTGAAGATACCATTCTCAATGTATTATGTCACAAAGTAATGCACAGGTAAGCTTAGCTGTGGTCTTATCTGTTAGTTTGATACATGAGGGTGAAAATCCTAAATACTTGAGGAAGCAGTAAACCAGGATCCACATTCGTTCAGATTTTCCTCTCTCATTTTAGAATGATAACATCAGGTTACAAATGAGAAGCTTAAGATGAGCTTTGCAGCATTTGACTGAGAAACTGAAGAACCATATGATTGCAGGAGGAAAGCACTGTAGTCATTCATTAGAATTTTCAGCAGCAATCATGATCAAATTAAGGCTTTCCATTAAGGAAAGGAAGAAATCCTATTCTTTAATTAATAGCAAACAACATTAGATAGTCCTTCTCTATAGTTTCATTGTGCTAAAAGGGCATATTGGATTGAAGAAGTCACGACAAAAGCTCAGGGCAATGAGTTTTCAACTGCAGCAACCACACTTGGAGAGTCAGAGCCTCTTAAGACTTTATAAGCACTATAATACTGCTAAACTTTTTCTTTCCCAGAGATTTCCACTTATTATGGTACAAGTGACCTTTAAAATTCCTCTTATGAAAGATCTCATGAATACTTCATCAACCAATCAGCTACAATTGCAACAGAGGTATAACTTTCTTACTTACAGGCGTAATTGAAACCTTGATTAGCTTCCTCAAGTAGTTAGGTGACTCAGTAACAGACACTGAGCAAATATACTGATAGCATAGCTAGATGGTGCTTAGAGACTTGCACTTTAACCTCTGTAAATATGGTATGAATCACAGATGCACCATGTGCCACAGGTAATGCAGAAACAAAATAGAACCTTTCTCTTCTCTTTGATTCTTATGATCCTTGCTTTTTATTTTTTTATTTTTTATTTTTTTCCTCCCCTCCTCCCGTGCCCTCCCACCAACCCCCCAATATTTCCTCATTTCCTCAGGGAGGGTGAGGCTCTCCATGGGAGTGTCCATAGTCTGTCATTTCATCCAGGGCAGGGCCTAGACCCTCCCCCAAGAGTTCAGGGTGAGAGTGCATCTCTCATTGTTGGATGGGAGACGAAAGTCCATTTGTATACCCGGGATAAATACTGATCTACTACCCAAGGCTCAATAGATTACCTAAGCCTCCTCATTGATGATCCTTGCTTTCTATATACAATGTTGGTCTTTGTTCATCTCCTTTCTGGATTATAATTTCCTCTCTCACATTTTATTGTACCTTCCTCTCAAACTCTGCTGTATTTGTTTTTCTGGTAAAAATCCATTTATTTCTATTCAGTGTCCTTCCAATAGTTTACAAAGCCTTATATAATCTCACTCCATACAAAGACTCTGACCTTGTCTCACCATTGCCCATTATCCTCCAGTCTCATTAGTCTCCTCTGCTTAGCTTGAAATTTTATATAAATATTCCCTCTTGGCTCTCACACACCTACATCCAGTCTCACTTTTAATGTTCCCTCTCTCACTACTTATTCCCCAAGCATCGTTTACAATAGAACCCCCTAAACTCTGTCTCCCTCATCCCTAATGTAAAATTCAGAACATAAAAGGTCAAAACCTAGTTAAACTTTCCATACCCTTCAGTTTCTTAGAATTAGCAGCTGGAGCTTGTTGATTTACATAACAGTTTTCAGCCTGGGAGTTCTCAAAACATTAAATTACCAAGAACATCTCCACATATAGTTCCCCATAAACCTCATATTTCTTTATTGTAAAAAATCATAGCAGCATTGAAATAAACACTATGGTAATTTGGAAAGATGGCTTT